TGCGGTTGCGCGCCCGAGGGCGGGTTGAAATGTGTCGCCCAGTTGCGGTTGCGGTTGCGCGCCCGCGGACGGGTCGAAATGTGGCGCCCAGTTGCGCTTGCGGTTGCGCGCCCGCGGGCGGGTTGAACTGCGTCGACCATTTGCGGTTGCGCGCCCGCGGGCTGGTTGAAATGTGGCGCCCAGGCACGGCTGCGGTTCGCCAGCTGGCGGTTTAAAACGTGTCGCCCAGTTGCGGTTGCGATTGCGCGCCCGCGGGCGGTTTGAAATGTGTCGCTCAGTTGCGGTTGCGCGCCCGACGGCGGGTTGAAATGCGTCGCCCAGGTGCGGTTGCGGTTGCGCGCCCGCGGGCTGGTTGAAATGTGTCGCCCAGTTGCGGTTGCGGTTGCGCGCCCGCGGACGGGTCGAAATGTGGCGCCCAGTTGCGCTTGCGGTTGCGCGCCAGCGGACGGTTCAAATGCGTCGCCCAGTTGCGCTTGCGCGCCCGCGGGCTGCTTGACATGCGTCGCCAAGGTACGGCTGCGGTTCGCCAGCGGGCGGGTTGAAATGTGTCACCCAGTAGCGGTTGCGGTTGCGCGCCCGCGGGCGGGTCGAAATGAGTCGCCTTGTTGCGGTTGCGGTTGCGCGCCCGCGGGCGGTTTAAAATGTGTCGCCCAGTTGCGGTTGCGCGCCCGCGGGCGGTTTGAAATGTGTCGCCCAATTGCGGTTGCGGTTGCGCGCCTGCGGGCGGGTCGGAATGTGTCGCCCAGTTGCGGTCGCTGTTGCGCGCCCGCGGGCGGGTCGACATGTGTCGCCCAGTTGCGCTTGCGGTTGCTCGCCCGCGGGCGGTTTGAAATGTGTCGCCGTTGGGGTTGCGCGCCCGCGGGCGGGTTGAAATGTGTCGCCCAGTTGCGGTCGCTGTTGCGTGCCCGCGGGCGGGTCGACATGTGTCGCCCAGTTGCGCTTGCGGTTGCACGCCCGCGGGCGGGTTGAAATGTGTCGCCCAGTTGGGGTTGCGCGCCCGCGGACGGTTTGAAATGTGGCGCCCAGGTGCGGTTGCGGTTGCGCGCCCGCGGGCGGGTTGAAATTCGTCGCCCAAGTGCGGTTGCGGTTGCGCGCCCGCGGGCCGGTATGAAATGTGGCGCCCAATTGCGCTTGCGGTTGCGCGCCCGCGGGCGGTTTGAAATGCGTCGCAAAGTTGACGTTGCGCGCCCGCGGGCTGGTTGACATGTGTCATCAAGGTGCGGTTGCGGTTGCGCGCCCGCGGGCTGGTTGAAATGTGTCGCCCAGTTGCGGTTGCGGTTGCGCGCCTGCGGGCGAATCGAAAGGTGTCGCCCAATTGCGGTCACCGTTGCGCGCCCGCGCCGCGGGCGGGTTGAAATGTGTCGCCCAGTTGCGGTTGCGCGCCCGCGGGCCGGTCGAAATATGACGCCCAGTTGCGCTTGCGGTTTTGCGCCCGCGGGCGGGTCGAAATGCGTCGCCCACTTGCGGTTGCGCGCCCGCGGGCGGGTTGAAATGTGTCGCCCAGGTGCGGTTGCGGTTGCGCGCCCGCGGGCGGTTTGAACTGTGTCGCCCAGTTGCGGTTGCGGTTGCGCGCCCGCGGACGGGTCGAAATGCGTCGCCCAGTTGCGCTTGCACGCCCGCGGGCGCTTTGAAATGTGTTGTTCAAGATGCCCTCTTGGAGTTCAGTCAGTCAGTCAATCAGTCAGTCAATCAGTCAGTCAGTCAGTCAGTCAGTCACTGGCGGGCACGGAATTTCACCCGGCCTCGCAGGGAACAAATGGGCTCTAGATATTTGGCTGTCCCGGGGCTTGAACAGTGCCTTTGGGGCCCGAAAACACCGACAGATGTCCCCGAACCTCAGAACAAAAAGAAGGGGGGGAATCCTCGCCCCCCTCCGGCCGACCCATGCGACCCGAAACTCGGAGATGCGGGCGGCCATGCGTTGAGTGGACCCCCGGAAAATCGGTCAAGAGCGGGGGGTAGGGGAAATGCATTCAAAATCTGTCCCTGGACCCCTCCCGGGGTCCCTCCGACGCAGTTTTTCGGCCCGAAGAGGAGGAAGAGGACGGGGGGGTGGAGTGGCGCGACGATGGTTGCGGGGCGAAGCTGGACAAACATCGAAGTGGACCTTCTAATGGACGTACTTCGGCACGGCTGACGTGCAGGGCGAGAAAACAGGAAGACGCTGTGCAGTGGTAGCTGGCGTATACGTAAGATTGTGCGATGTTATGTTGGATTCGATCTTGTCCCAATGTCGATGCGCTCTGCTGTCGTGTCACGAATGTTCTGCTGTGTCATGTGATGGCCTGTTCTGCCGTGATACTCCTCTCCACTACCACCGTTGCTATGTTCAAAAGCGTTGGACAAGATTCCATGGAGTAACTCTGTAACATGTTATGGCCTGCTGTGTCCAGTTATGTTCTCGACGGGCCGGCGTGACGTCGTGACGCCTGGGCGACACCGTCGACTTGTGGCTACTGTATACGCGATGTTGTGCGAATGTGTGTGCGTGGTGGGATTATGCCCCGATGTAGGATGTGACGCTGTGTTCTCTGATGTTCTGAAATCGACGGGCCGGCGTGACGTCGTGACGCCTGTCACGCTAGAGACATCGTCGCATCGCTCATTGATGTGACACTTGGTTCCAATGGCGACGCTGACCAAAATGTACGTAGGTGGAATACGTTACGATATCCCTCTGCCCTTCCGTTATCTCATTCATGAAAGCATGCTCTGTCACGCACGGTGTTTCCTCAATGTGCTTTGGCACGTTATGTTTCACCCTGCCCTGTGGCACATTCTAAGGCATGATATGTGCTCTCAACTTATGTTTGCTATGATATGTTCCGTGATGGCGTTGCCGGCTCGGCTCAATATAGTAACGTATGGTATGAAATGTTAGTATGGCTTGCTATGTCCTGCTCTGTCGTGGTACTCCTCTCCTTCACTACACGACTGCCACTTCCGTATTCAAAAACGGTTCAACCGTGTTCCATGTAGTAATGATATTTCATGGTATGCTTGATTATGTCCTCTTCTGGTGTCGACGGGCTGGAATGACGTCGTGACCCCTGTGACGTTAGATGCATCGTCTGTTGTGATGCCCCTCTTCACCTGTATGTTTCTCATGGTTGAATATGCGATGGCATGCTCATAGATGTCGCCATATGGTTGGAGATGCGATGGTATGATCTGCTTTGCGGCGCTATGCGATTGCATGATATGCTGACGTAATATGTGTTAGTATGCTCTGTTCCGTGATGCTGTTGACGGCTCGGCTCAATATGCTATGGTGTGATGTGCTCTGCTAGTATGGTTCGCAATGATGTGGTGGCGTATTATGATATGTTATGTGATGTTGTGTCATGATATGACGTGTCCTGCCATAGTGTGTCATGTTATGCTCGTTTATGGTATGTTGTATAACTTTAGTTCGTCGTCTGCTCTATCATGTTATTAGTTTGTGTGTTATGTTACATTGTGCTTGTGGACGGCCCGGCACAGTATAATATAGTATGACCTGCTGTGCTAGTAGGTAACGATGCGCTATACTTTCGTGTTATGAAATGTTATGATAAGAAGTGCAATGATATGGGATGTTCTGCCAATGTTTCTTATGGTGTCCTCGGTTATGCTGTGCAATGTGGTAGTATGCCGCCTTCTGTTCTACCATGATGTGATGTGATATGATATGTGACGTTATACTATGCTCTTGCTTGTCGTGGTATTGATATGCTATGTTACGCTCTGTCATGGTATGGCATGCTCGCGCCATGTTATCTTATCTTCTGGTGTGGCATGTTATGGTCTGGCGTGTTCGCCGCTACGCCCTGCTGTCGTCCTATAACATGTATGGTGACGCGGTGTCATGATATGATGAGCCCTGTCAATGTGTCTGATGTTATGCTCGGTTCCGTTACATTATGTTGTGCTCTGTCGTTTTCTATTATGCCATGTTCTGCTATGGTATGTTATGTGATATGCTGGTGTCCTCTGTTTCATCATGATATTGATATGTTATGTTCTGACACGTTATGTCATGCTCTTGATATGTTACGTCATGTTCTGTTGTGCCATATTGCGTTATGTCTTGTTTGTCGAGGGCGCGAGGCGGGACAACCGGGACTCTCGGGACAACTTGGGGTCTGGCGGCCGCGGTATGCAGGCTGTATTCTGTCGTGTTTGTCGAGGGCGCGAGGCGGGATAACCAGGACTCTCGGGACAACTTGGGGTCTAGCGGCCGCGGTATGCAGAATGTGTTCTGTCATGTTTGTCGAGGGCACTCGGCAGGATAACGGGGACTCTCGTGACAACTTGGGGTCTGGCGGCCGCGGTATGCAGGGTGGGAGTGGCCGGGAGGTCTGTTCTTAAAATCTAACGACCCCACCCTGTCCGGTGGGGAATAAGCACTCCGACATGCGAAGCTTTCGGTAAAAGCGTCACGGGGAGGGATCGAACAGAGCAGGGGTGGTTTGTAAACGCCCAAGGCTGTTTAGTAATTGTGGCGGTCGGGGGCGCGAGGGCGCGTGGCTGGGCCACGCCCCCATCATTGCGCGGGCAACCCCTGCACATACGGCGGGTCCGCGTCGCGATGGCGCCAGCACTGGTCTCTGACACCGTGCGGATCGTTTAGCCCTACAGGGCCGCGGATCTCCGATAGTGCAGATAGTTCGATGTCGCTGACTTTGGGCCACTGGACGCGCTCAACTGCCTCGAAAGCCCGCGCTTCGGGGCCGCCAGCGTCGACGGGGCGAGATTCTGCCACACGGCCCTCTGGGCCTTGGTTTGGTCTTTGGAACATCACTCCGGTCTCTGGCGGCCGATCGGGACGATCCGGGCCCCCCGGCACGCCCTCGGCGAGGCGCAGCTGCAGGGGAGGGCCCCGAGGCCGGAAAACCTACAGGCGCCGACGGAGACGTCCAGAAACCCTCGGCGCCGACGCAGCGCACACCGCGCCCAGGCCCCCAGGCCCGCCCCCGAGGTGCTCTGCGCCCTGCCGTGGCTTTCGCCCGCCGCGCGGCCGAGGCGCGCCGCGGCGCCGAAGCCGCGCTGCGTGAGGGCAGCCACCACGCCGCCGCCGTCCTCGGGGTCCCCAGAGCCCTCCTTCGGCGGCGAGCGAGGGAGAGGAAGTGAGAAGGAGGAGGCCTTCTCAGAAGGCGGCGAGACTTCTCAGAAACCCCCGCGCCGTCTGAAAGGTTTTCCGTGCCTTGGGGAAGGCTTCGAAGACTTCTCAAAAGGCCAGGGGGCTTCCGAGTCTGCTGAGAAGGCCCGCCTCTTCGCACTTCCCCCCAAGCTCCCCGCCGATTCCTGCATTGCCCTGCGCAAATTTCCCAGGATCTCGTCGCATGGGGAGAAACTAGACACCTACCTTGGATAGGCTGTCTCCAGCAGGCGCGGGTTGGCGGACCGCTCAGCCAGGCTGCCTCCTCGCCGCCCCTCTGTTCGTCCCACCGCACAGTGGACGACAGAGGAACGGCGAGGGCAAGGCGGCCGCCCCCAACCCCGCACCCCGACAAAAGCACATCGACCTCTCTCTCCCAGGGTTTGGGGAGCGGGAAAAGTGGTGGGTTTGTTTTCCACCTCCACCACCAGAAGTAGGAGGAGGGGGGTCGTCCTCCTCCTCCTCCTCCTCCTCCTCCTCCTCCTCCTCCTCCTCCTCCTCCTGCTCTTCTTCCTCCTCCTCGCCATCCTCCACCTCGTTCCCCCCTCCAACTTATGGTGGTGGTGGAAAACAGGCGCATCAAAAAGTGGAGAGGTGTGACGAGAGTGGCTTAAGCCCAACTGGTCGCCAGATCCTGTGCTGCCAGAAGGTGCGTTGCGAACCCGCCCCCCCTAAGGATCCTTAGGGGGAGGTTCTGCGAGGCCACATTTAGCACCCCTTTAGGCACGCATCTCAACCCACCTCCCCCCCATGACCTTCTGCCGCATGACAAAGGCTGCCACGCCCAATTTCAATTATAGAGTCGCTCGTTTTGGTCGCCTTCGGCTTGTCACCGTTAATGGGCCTCCAGGGGTCGTTTTCGGGCTCCAGGATCGTCAGAGACGCTCCCGGGACGAATAGGTACCCCCAGGGGCATCCCCCGGACGATTTGCCAACACGACCTCCATACATTGCATGCCGAGCTTGTACCTCACAACGCAGGACCACCCCGAGCTGGACACCGAAGCCCCCAGCCCGACATGGCCCTGCGCCTCCGGATCCCTGGAGGACAGGGAGGAGGAGGAGAGGGAAGAGGAATACGAGAGGAGGAGGAGGAGAAGGAGGAAAGAAGTCAAGCACGAAGAAGATGATAGCGAGGATGGCTGCAGCAGCGTAAAGAGGGAAGGGGATGAGTCTGAAGACTCCGAGTCGCGCACAGATCGCTCCCAGATGTCCAAGATGGCCTCCAGACGGACCCACAGGCCTCCAAAATGTCCAACAAGCTTCCAAGACGCCTCCGAAAAGAGCCCCAAAGGGCAAAACACGCTCCACTCCCTTCGCAAAACGTACTTGTCAACCAGATTCGCCTCCTCAACTTTCGCAGCGTCCATGACGGCTCCAGAGGCTCCAAAGATCGCCCCAAAACAGCCGCAGAGGTCCCCAAGATGGCCCCAAGATCGCCCCAGAGGGCCTCAAAGCGGCTCCAGGACCCCCCTAGACTGACCAAGACGGCCTCAGGATTGCGCCAAGAGGGGCCCAGAGGAGGAACCAGAACGGACATTTCGAACCTTCGGGCCCCAGACGCTCCGAGGAAGCTCCCGGAAGCTTCCAGGAGGCCCCAAGAGACTCCAAGGGACGTTCCGAAGGAAGCCCCAAGAGGCACGAATCGCTCCACTCCCTTTGCAAAACGTGATGTTTGATCTGATTGCCTCCTCAGCCTTCGCAGCGTCCAAGACGGCCCCAGAGGAGGCTCCCAGGATCGCCCCTAGACAGCCGCAGAGGCCCCCAGCGAAGGCTCCAAGACAGCCCCAGAGAGCCTCACGACGGCTCCAGGACCCCCCTACAGACTGGCCAAGACGGCCTCAGGACTGCGCCAAGAGGGGGCCCGGAGGAGGAACCCGAGCGGACATGCCGAACCTTCGGGCGCCCGGCGCCCCACGGAAGCTCCCGGAAGCTTCCAGGAGGCCCCAAGAGGCTCCAGGAGACGCGTCCGAAGAGAGCCCCACGAGGCACCGCACGCCACACTCCCTTTTGCAACATGTAATCTTCAACCAGATTCGCCTCCTCAACTTTCGCAGCGTCCAAGGCGGCCCTAGAGGCTCCCAAGATCGCCCCAAGACAGCCGCAGAGAACCCCAAGAAGGCTCCTAGACAGCCCCAGAGGGCCTCAAGACGGCTCCAGGCCCCCCTAGACTGGCCAATACGGCCTCAGGATTGCGCCAATGATGAGATAGTATGCCGATGGACAACAATATCTCTTTTCATCTTGAGCCAAAATGGGCGCACGGAGGAGGGTGTCAGAATCACTCCTCCTCGGGCCTGGCCGCAAACCGGCCAGGCACGACCTAAGTCGTACGCGGGCGCGCCCGAGCCGACGCGCCCAGCTCATCAGCTAGGCTGCGGCCATGCCGCGAGCCCCTCACTCCGCCCGGCGCGATCATACCGCCGCCGGCGGAACCTCATCCAGCCCCACAGGTAGCGGAGCATGGATTCGATCCACTCCATCACTTGAAGTCCTTCTGAGTCGAACTCGGTGCCCGATCCCAGATGTTCAGCGTCGCCATGTGTCTCCTCAAAAGGGATCCACCCACGCTCTTGGTCAGCACGTCCGCGACATTGTTCTTGCCAGGAACCGCAGCGATCGAGATGTCGCCCTTGCCAACACGCTCCTGGATCCACAAGTACCGTGATTGAACATGTCGCATCTTCCCGAGACCTCGCCGTTGGACGTGTCCCCGGGCCGCCGATGAATCCGAGGCAAGCTCCACCTTCAGGTCCAGCCCCCAATCCGCGAAGAGGCTGTGAAGGCCTAGGCCCACGCTCCCGCCCTTCACCAGGGCGTAGTACTCGCTCTCCCCGCTGCTCAATGAAACCGTCGACTGCAGGTTGCTGCCGTGCTTGACTACATGATGCCCTAGCATCGCCACGAAGCCTCCTGTGCTCTTCCGCGTGACTGCACAGCCTGCATGATCAGAGTCCACGTGCACCCGGATATTGTCGAACATCTTCTGCTCCGTGAAAACCGTCACCGTGCTAGGATGCCGCTTAAGGTAGCGGCCAACCCTCTTGAGCATGAGCCAGCTCGCCTCCGTTGGCGTCTGCATGGACCTAGCGAGCGTCTTCGATGCCTCTGCCAAGTCCAGCCTGTCCTGAGACAGGTAGGCCACCCTCATGGTGAGGGATCGGAAGCGCGAAGCTTCCGCTGCTCCCAACGCCGCCGACTTCGCATCCATCATCTGCTTGTCGGCGCTGCGCTTCTCCATCGGCGTGTCCACGCCGTTGGCCTTGCTGAGACCCAGCTCGTCGATCACGATCTCCGCGTGCCGCTTGTCCGGCTCGATCATCGCATGCCGGCAGGGCCGGCCACCGCCAGGCGGAACTCCCGCACTGACCTCGATGACCCGATTCAGGAAGACCGCCTGCTTGTCATCGCCCTCGTCGAAGCCTAGGTTCGCAGTCTTCTTGAACTCGTACTTCTTGCCCAGCGTGGCCTCGAAGCTGTCGATGTCCTGCTGCTGAGCCAGCACCGCGAAGTCGTCGCCGTGCCCCAGCAGCCTCGTCTCGTCCACCTCCTTGTAGAAGACCGCTGGGCACGACACGCCCGCCTTGTAGCCGTGTTCCTCCAGCAGCTCCGTGTAGTCGCCCTGCCAGATCTTGCTGGCGTCCTGCGTGCCGTACCAGGACTTGAGGAGTAGGCCGCACTTGTCCTCGCCGTACTCCTTGCGACTCTCCTCCTCCAGCTCCACGAAGATCCCCGCTGCGCCTTCCCGTAGAAGTGCGCCCTGCTGATGTCGAAGAAGCCGATCTTGAAGTTGCCCGGCTTCCTGCCCTTCTTGCGAAGCGACTCCTGAATGTGGAGCGGTGCTTCCCGCGTCCACGTGACCATCAGCGAGACCAGCGACCGCATGGCCTCCAGAGGAGGCATGGCCGAGAAGACCTCGGACGCCTCCAGCTGCTCGTCGGGGCGCTTCTTCGCCTTGATCTCCTTCACGACGAGCCTGCTCCTGTAGTTGGGCCTCTCCGCGTCACCCTTGTTCGTGTCGACCCACTTGAGTGGGATGGGCGGACGCCCAGTCTCGGCGAAAGCCTGAGACCTCGGGACGATCTCGATCAGCTCCTGCTTCTTGACCCACTCGCGCTCGACCGCGCGAGCCTGGGCCACAAGGCCCGCCTCCAGGTAGCCGCCATTGACGTCGTCCCAGTAACTCGTCCAGTCCCCGGGCGGCACTGCCGCGTCCACAGGGACTGGGCCCGACTGCTGCACCTGGGCGGTGCTGAGCTCTCCCACGTCATTCAGCGTGTCCTTGAGCTCCTCCAGCACCGCCTCTACCAACTTCGGTGGATAGACCTTCGCGAACCGCGCGATGCCGCCCACGAGCGTGATGTGGCGATGCCATTCCGCGCGGCCGTCCACATTGCTGCAAGTGCCCTGCAGCCTCCGGGCTAAGCCTGGATGGTTGGTGACCCATCCGGTCTCCTTGCGCACGAACTCCTCCTGACCACTGCGTGGGTTCGTGAGCTTCATGCCCCACCGACACATGGGGCCTTTGACCGTGAAGACTCCTGGATGCGCGACCAGCTCCTTGACGATGTCCTCATTCCACGATCGCGCGCTCCAGGGATGCTCATGCAGGAAGTACCTGCCTGGCTTCCTGAGCTGACGCCAGTAGGCGTCGACTGCCACCTTCAGGTGGTGTCTGGCCTCCTCCATCTCAGCCGCCTCCTGCTCATCGGTCCTGAACTTGGCGCTCAGGCCCCTCAGCAAGCTGAACTTCTCGCATGGAGGGGACCCCGTGAGCAGGATGGGATCCATCCGCTCCTGCTGCCTCTCGAGCTCCTTGACATCCTCGGGGCGCCGCAAGTCCCACGGCGTCCCGTCCTCCTTGAGTTCCTCCAGGTCCGCCGCGAAGCCCGGGCGCAGCTGAAATTCCGCTGCCCGAGCCGAGAACCGATGTGGCGAGTACACCTCGGCCACGTCCACGGCGCCCAGCTGCAACGCCGATAGGGCGATGCTGTCCACCTCTTCGTCGGCGATGTCCACGCCGGCGCTGGCCCAATGGCCACTGACCTGTTCGCGAACGAGCGGGAGCAACTCCGCCTTCGCTCTCGTCAGCGCTCCGAGCTCAACTAGCTCGATCGACGCCACATCGAGGGCGAGCACCCGCATGTGCCTCCCCTCACTGGCGTTCCACACGACTGCCACTCCAGCTGGCAGCTGAGGTCCTTCCGCTGGCGCCGGCTGCGCCGCGAGATCCTCCATGTCCACCGGTACCGGCACGTCTGCCGGCTGTGGATCACCGCGCTCGAGGGCCTCCGGCACGTCATCCGGGGCCACCTCTGCCAAGCGCTTCAGCCGCGACCTGGCCGCGGTCATGTCGACATCCGCGGCGGCCTCTGCCGCTCGCGCCGCTCCCGAACTGGAGCTCGCTCCTCCTGAAGGAGCCGCCACGCCGAAGCCCGGTGCTACCGGCTGGCTCTCTCGCATGCGCGCCGCTGTGGCTGCCACGGCTGGCGCTGCTGCCGATCGGGCCGCGGCCGGCGCGGCCGATGCCGCTGCCGCCGCTGCCACCGGCTCGGTGATCCTCCGAGCCGTCTTCGGCGGAGGGGTCCCTGCCGCGGCCGCTGCCGCTGGTCGGACTCTGGCCTCTTGGCCCTGCCTCCGTTCTCGATACTGGCCGGTCCTTTCCCGGCCTGCCTCCTCCGCGTCCAGCGCTTCGAAGATCCTCTTGCTGCACACCGCGTTGTGCGCGTGGCCAGCCAGCACCCGGCCGTGCTTGGCGATCGAGACGCACCCTGGGCATCCCGGCGTTGCGCCCAGCCGCTCGACGTCCGCCTTGAGGACGTACATCCTCCTCGGCGCCTGCGGCTGCGGCGACACCACCACAATTGGTGGCGGTCCGACCTCTCCAGGTCCGACGATGGCCCGCGGCGCGCTTGCCGCACGCGGAGCCACGTCCCACGGCAGGCCCTTCAGGCCATCCCAGCCCGCCGTGATCCACTTCTCGCTCTGCGGCAGGCTGCGAAAGCCGACCGCCTTCTTCACGCCGTCGCTCGTGATGACCATCATCGAGCCGTCGCGCGGGTGGTGGCCGATGTAGCGAGCCTCCACCATCTGCTCCTCCAGCGCGTTCTTCCTCGCGCGCTCCCCGGCGAACCGCGCCATCAAGCGCTCGCCGAAGAGCGGGACCGGCTTCCTCCACTGCCGTCCCGTGAGCCGCTGAAGAGCGGTCTTGCCATCCTGGCCGCGCCGGTATCGGTTGATTACCGATGCGGCGTGCTCCGGCAGGTGCGCTAGCACCGGGTGCTTGTCCTCCACCTTGACGCCCAGCTTGGACTCCAGGTCCATCTTGAGCGCCCGCACCTGCTTCTTGATCTCGCGCACCGTGACCTCGATCTCCCCATTGGCCTGATGATCGGCCGGTGCCGATTCCTGGGGAATGGCCTCGAGGCCAGGAACCTCCTCCACCGCACGCCTCTTGACCAGCAGGATCGCTGGCTCGCCGTCGGACTTGTTGACGATCTTCCTGTAGCCCAGGATCCTTAAGAAGCGTGCAAAGAACTTGATGGCGTAGGCGTCGTCGCCCTTCTTCTCCACGAATGTCGCTGCCATCATCTTCGAGCGCCGATCCCTAAGTACCAGCATCGGCATGGTGTCCGCGTCGTCCTGGCCCATGAAGGCGTAGTCGGACGAGACCACCGGCACCGCCGTCTCGTCGTCCTCCGGTGCGCGGAGATGCGGCTGGCCTTGGCCCTTTGCCGCAATACACACGCGACACCAGCTGCGATAAGTCGCGTGTCCCATCGCCTCGTGTTCGTCGATCTCCCTCTGAGAGGGCTCATGAGGTGCCTTCAGCACTCTCGGGCGAGCCTCCTCCTCGCCCTCGTCGGCCTGCTGTCCATCAGGAGCAGCTGGCAAAGCGTCGGCCGCAGCAGCTGCCGCTGGCTGAAAACCCGGCGGTCTCACGTCGGAAGGTCCCGACCCCGCCGCTGCCGCCCCCGCAGCCGACGCCGCCGGGGGCCGTGGTATTAAGTCCTCCAGTGGGCTTACGCCGAGGGCTGCCTCCTGGGGACTGTCTTCTCGAGGATCTCCAGCAGCTCCTCCTTCGACTTGCCGCTGAGGAGCTCCACCAGCTCGGACTTCGACTTCGCCGAAAGTCCCTCCTCGAGAGGAGCAACCGAGCCATGTTGGCCCTTCTTGAGGTAGAAGTTGTAGACGCCCTGCTCGCGATAGACCGGCAGCATCTGGTGCTTCGCCGCCTTCGCCTCCTTCTCGAGCATGCCTACCACGCGCTTGCCGATTGGGCTCTTCTCGTGGAATATCCAGCCGCCATTGCGACCCAGGAATGAACACTGTCCAGCTCCTGCTGCCTGCCCCACCGAGATCAACGGCTTGTGCACGTTCGTCACGCGTCCCTTGAGCGCTCGTAGCACTCCGTACTCGTCCTCCGCCTTGAGCTGCAAGCTGCCCTCGTCCGGGACGAGCTCACCACTGGCCGTACGATACGTGCTGCCGTTGCCCTTCATTCCCGTCGGCGACGCGAAGCTTCGAGGGAATGCTGAGATAGCTGCACCGCTGTCCCAGTTGAACTTCATCCAGTCGTCCTGCGCGAAGGGGGAGAGATCGACCGCCGCTACGCCGCGGCCGCTGCCGCTGGCGAGCTCCAGGCAGTCCAGGCTGCCCATGTCCAGAGCGGCGACCTCCGCTTCAGGCTCCTCCTCCAGGCTGCCTGCCGCCTTGCCGCCGGCCTTGCCACCGCGGCTACCGACTTTACCACCAGCGCTTGCCCCCGTTGCGGATCCAGTTCCAGCCCTCGTACTCGATCCCTGCTCTCTCTTCCAGCAGTCGGATGCCTTGTGGCCCCATCTCTCGCAGTTCCGACAGTAGCCGTCGAAGCGCCCGCTGGTGCTTCGAGGTGCCGTGTGCCCTGAACCACGGCCCGAACCCGTCGGGGATGTGCGGGAGCCTGAGTATGATCCGTTCGTCGATTTGCTCTTCCCCTTCGGCTCCTGAGTCTTGCCTTTCCCTTTGCTCTTGCCGTCCTTGCCCTTGCCTTTGCCTTTGCCCTTCGGGGCTCCGAATGACCCGACGTCCATGTCGTCCGGATGATGTGCCCGCGCACGGATCGATGGCTCCTTGATCTTCACGCCGGTCCGAGCCTCCACGATCGTCATCACCTCGTTCAGACTGTCCTGGAACGTGACGAGCCGATGCTTGTTGAGGACGAGGTGGTTCTCGATGTCCTGAGGCACGAGCATCTCGAGGGCCGCCATCTTGATATCCTCCGGCAGCTCGGCTAGACCATCTTCTCCTTGGCGGCGTTCGTACCTGCCTATCTGCTGGATCCACTTCTCTAAGGCTGATCCCAGCTCGTCCGCGCTGCACTTCGGAGGCGAGATGATCGACCTCAGGATCAGCCTCTTCCTCGGACCTGTCGTCGGATCCCACCTGCGGTGGAGCTTCCGCCAGGCTTCGAGACCGTTCCCATCGGGGGCGCCCGTCACGAGGTCGTTGCTCTCGCTGCCGTCCGCCGTCGTGCTGATCAGCGCCGCGTACAGCTGGTTGACCTTGGTCTCCAGCTCTGGTACTCCGTCGTGCGCCGCCTGTGCCCCCTCGATCGTCACGGGGCGTTCGGCTTCTGCAGCCCACCGAAGAACGGGACGGAAGCTCTCTCCGTACACGCCTATCACGTAGTTCTCCATCTTGCGATTCCAAGCCCCGAACTTCTCTTGATCGTCGCCCATCGTCGTGGGCTTGCCAATCCCCTTCGTGTCGACGAGACCTTGAGCGGCTCCTCCCGCGCTCGACGCGCCTCTGATCTGCTCGCCCATACGTTCTATCGCCTGCGGAATTGCCGCGAGGCCTCCTGCTACTTGTTGCTGAAGCCGCTGATTCTCGTTCTCCAGCCTCCTCATCTCGTCGGCGGTCTGACTCATTCGAGCCGCGAACTCCTGCCTCAGCAGTTCGAAGTGCTGCCGAACCTGCTCGTCCATGCTTGACAGCGTGTCTCTCAGCGAGCTCCTCCTTGCTCTCAGCTATCTCCTGCCTCGTACCCTCGAGGTCCGTGATCCGGCCTAGGACTTCCTTCTGCGTTCTCTCGACAACGTCTGAGGAGTTCTCCGAAGGATGGTCCTCGATGTGCGCGAGGTCGCGAAGCCTGTTGCCTGCCTCCCTCAAGTCGTGCTTGAACTGGAGGGCCTTGCGCCTGGTCTCAATCGCTGCGTCGCTCCTCTTGCCGCGCCTGCGGCCACTCTTCCCGGCCCCTGCCGGTTGCTCGGTCGCTGCCGAGCTCGCTGCGGTCGATGCCGCCCTCTTCCAGCCTCGAGTTTCCTGCCAGCTCGCCGTGGCGCCCGCGGCCGCGGCGCGCCGAGGCCTTGGTGGGGTCGGCAGCAGTGAGTGGCCAGCTCACGCTACCATGATGAGATAGTATGCCGATGGACAACAATATCTCTTTTCATCTTGAGCCAAAATGGGCGCACGGAGGAGGGTGTCAGAATCAGCCAAGAAGGGCCCAGAGGAGGAACCAGAACGGACATTTCGAACCTTCGGGCCCCAGACGCTCCGAGGAAGCTCCCGTAAACTTCCAGGAGGCCCAAAGAGGCTCCAAACGAGCCCCCGGAGAGCCGCAAAACGCTCCCAAGAAGCCGCCAGGCGGCCCCTCAGAGACAGAACAACTCCCTCCAAAACGCCTTCGAGAAGCCTCCCGCGAGACTCCATCAGCCGTCCGAGTGGCCTCAGACACACGTTCCATGTAAGGTGGTAGCAAAGGCCGAACGCCACTCGTAGGTGCCAGGCTCCACGCTCTCACGCCAAGTGCGCTCCCAAATGGCCGACGCCTCTTCGTCCGTCAATTCCTCCTCCTCCTCCTCCTCCTCCTCCTCCTCCTCCTCCATCTCCTCCTCCTCCTCCTCCTCCTCCTCCTCCTCCTCCTCCATCTCCTCCTCCTCCTCCTCCTCCTCCTTTACGGGTGGGCTCGGACACACAACCTGGGCACGGTGTCGGGAGGAGCCGAATACCACCAGTAGGCGCCAGGTCCCACGGGCAGCTTCCACGGCCTTAATTACCCCACGGCCTCGCGCTGCAGTCCTCGGAAATTTCCCCCTGCATCCACGGAACCCCCGAGCCACCTCTGGCAAACGGCAGAGATGAACCTGTACTGTATGGGCTGGCGGAATGAGCAAAGCGATTGAATAAGTCGAGCACGGAGGAGACGATAGCGAGGATGGCTGCAGCAGCGTAAAGAGGGAAGGGAATGAGTCTAAATACTTGGGCGAGAAACAAGCCCTGACTCGCAGACACGAGCGGCAACTTGCTGTGGCCGAGAGGTCAGCTGTGACAGTGGACGGTTCTCCAGAGCTCGCAAGGAGCAACTTCAGCTTCCAAACGACGCGTGAAACAGAGAGAGAGAGAGAGAGAGCACTGAGCCTCGTCGTCGAAGTACTCGGCAACACTCGCGTCCTCCTCCTCCTCCTCCTCCTCCTCCTCCTCCTCCTCCTCCTCCTCCTCTTCCTCCTCCTCCACCTACTCCTCGTCCTCCTCCTCCTCGTCCTCCACGGCCACCTTCTGTTAGTTAATCGAGCACCTTCCTAAGGGAACCAAGCAATGAGATAAACACAAAATAATTGGTCCGCGCGGATTTCTTGGATCAGCGCTGGAACCCTTTGGCGGCGCCTCCCGCGCGGCCCCTGACGCGCTCCGCGCGACCAGAAGGGACCCCCAGCGCCGATCCGAAACATCCGCGCGAACATCCGAGTTTTTACGTTTATGTCCATATTTGGTCCCCGACGCTTGTTTTTCCTTCTCCTTTGTCCTCATTCTACCACCCGTTGCCCCTCCCACACCTCCCTCCCGCCTCGCCGCCCGCCCCTCTTCCCCATCAAGCCCCGCCCTCCGCCCGTCGTCGCCGCCGAAGCTACCGCCGTCCGTCGCCGTCGCCGTGGTCCGTCGACGCTGCCGCCGTCGGAAGAACAAAAGGTTTGGACGCTTCTGGCCCTTGCTGTGCTGCCGGAAGTCCCTGGCGGTTTTTCGATGACTGAGGGGGCCCCAGGGAAACCCCTGGAGAAAACGCGATGCTGAGACAGCGGAAAAGATTGGCGTTGAAGGAGCAATTTCAAGGTCAAGGTCAGGCTGGAAGGCGAGCCCATGAAGGGCACAGGCCGTGGCAATCGGCAGCGCGCTCTACAAGCGCGCGCCGCGACCCAACGAAACAACACTACGTGCATCTAAAAAGGTGGATTCATTCTCGTGGCGCGTACATTGTGAACGGCAGAAACAATCATGACAGTCCGTGGCTCTGGATACTAAGAACGCAAGAGAAGCCGATCTCGCGGACGAAAATTTCCTGATTGGTTGTCCATGTAAGAGTCGGCCGGCCTGCTCTACGAAAACCGCGCGGTGACCGATTGAGGACTCCCGCGCTGCGCTTCGCCTCCGGGAGTTCCTGCACATGTTCTGTCAACGACCCAGATTGGTGGGCGCATGGTTCTGCTCATAGGCGAATGCCGCCCCGCACGGCGAAGTTACGTGCATCCTCGTGCCAAGCACGCAATACATGCCACGGCCCGAAGGTGATCCAATCATCTGTCGTATGAGGCGACGGAATTCGATATTCATTGCCTTGAAGTCTTCACAATATGCGGGGCGATGTTCAGCTGCAGAAGCACGCCGCTGTCTTCACGACGAGATTGAACAATTTCAACCTCTGTGTGATGGAAGCTCGCTTGTCGCACAAAAAACTGCGGTTCGGATACAATCCTTTGGCTGCACCTTGCGTATGAGAGTTCAGATCCAGGAGTTCAGGAGTCTCCCTCCCCTGTGGAGACCATGCGACCCAACCACTTATGAACAAAATCGGCTGATCACGTGTATTGTCAATCCGTCCAGCGTCTGGATGGCGGAGGGAAATTGTGTCACAGTGGTCAGTGCTGCCTTTGTGGCGTTAACAACAAACCCGACCTTCAGCAACTCCGATATACGAGCGTATCAAGTAAAACACATACCTCTATTTCCGACTACGCGGGTAAGAAGCAAGTCGAAAGGGAAACGCAAGTTCGTCAACTGCTCTCCGCCTTCACCAAGATCTGTTCCCAGATGACGAGTGTTCTGCCTCCAGCGCGACATTGCGCATTCCATGGCGGACGCGAACGGCTGCGCAATCAATGCGCACTCTTGGCGGACGCCAGCGAAAATCAACAATTCATGGCTGCAGCTGCCCTCGCCCGCAATGATTCCCACTTGATCCGCGTAGAGTTGTCGATTCTACCATACCATACATACTCGGACCGGACACCCCATGATCAAAGAGCGCTGGTCACAGCGGATATCATGCAACTTTGTCAAACCCTCTCGAACAATGCAGGCTGATGGTCAAAAAAGGCATTCCTGCGGCTAGCGTTGTTTGAAAAAAAACGTTGGCAATAACCACCTGCTCCTCGAGGCGACAACCAGACCGGAAACCATGTTGCTCTTCAGGCTGCGCATGCTCCAAGGCACCTTCAATGTGGCCTCGAAACAAGTCGGACACGAACTTGTAGACAGCCACAAACATGCTATATGCGTGAAAGTCTGAACTGTCCTGGCAATTTTAATCGTCTCTAACATCTTGCAAACTGTGCGCCTCCACTCGTCTGGGACGATGCCGTGCGCGAGCACCTCGTTGCACAGCCTCAAAGAAGTACTGCGGACCAGCGGCGGGCAATGACGCGAAAGTTCTGCAATGAGACCTTTATTAGGTGCAACCTTGTTGGTCTTCATCTGGTAAGTGCTGATGCCATCACCAAGCTCGCTAAGGGCGGTATGGCCGGAACGCGCATGGACATATCGTTGAAAATACCACGCGTCGCTAAACGCGACGTATCACGAGCTCGGTGCGACAGCATTCTTTTTGTCCGGAGAAGTATTCACCATCTGCGGCAATGCTTTCCACTTTGATGGCTGGCCTACCTTATAAGAGATCTGCGCAGATCGCCAAAAGCGACTTGCCTTCGGCATTAACGACGGATCTTGAAACCACGGGGAAGCTGGTAACACCGAAGGCTGGAAACACTGCGGACATAATGGTTATAATAGAGGGTATCGTGCTCGCGCGCCCTCGCAAAAGCAACACAACAGGAACCCGGGCCCCGACCATAAAGAAAACAACGATCTGATGGTAGCCCTCGAGAGTCTCCAGTCGGCCCGACGGAACTCTCCGCGCAGGACGAGTCGAATCGCAACGACGGCGGAAGGGCTGGCCCAGCACATGAAACAACATCTGCGTCGGACCGTCCTGGGAAGCTCCGTCCGGGCCGATGAGCAAACTACAATGGGCTGCCCGAGCGTCGGCATTGCCAAAAGGGGCCAGCCCTCGCCACAGTAATAGAAACACAAAAGGCTGGCGCGCAAACGAAAAGACAACGTTGTCGTGGAGGCACCCACAGCGGCCGGCCCAAGCCGAAATTGGAAAGCCAAAGGCATCGCCATGGCGACTGCCGACGACGATGACGACGTCATCGTCGTCGGCACTCGCCGTATTGGAATCGTATTGGGTGGGACTGCAAAACCTCGTGTTGAGGCCCACACCCGTGTGAAACCCCACAGGGGTGACACGAGTCACCCCGAAAACCATGTGGGAAAAAACAATCGTTTCACTCGTATTCTGGGCGCCAACATGGGGCCATACAAGATGGAACCACACAAGGGTGGCACGCGTCACCCCGAAAAC